AGAATGGTTAATAGAAATTGGTCCTTTTGAGTGACATAATCGTGTATCGTCATCGATCCGTGTCGTTGAACAATGAAAAAATTTGCTGTGAAATTAGTGAAGATAAAATAGCATTTTGTGAAAAAACTGCGGGTCTACGGAGTGGGAACTTTTCGGATTTGAAATCAGCGTGTTCGAAAGTGTTAGTTCCCGTAAAAATATTTCAGATCTAAGACATGCTTAATGAAAATCTTTTTCTAGGCACTTTTCGAGGTCACAACATACGGACTATAAGAGAAGATCTTGTAGTGCAAGAAGATTATTTATTATTGCTGCTTGAACAACCTATCGTTTACAGTTTACTGTAATCTATCTCTATAAAATGTTTTTTGCTGAATTGTGCACTGTGACTCATTTCAATATATCGAAATCATCCCGCCTCATATCTCGTCCTGGCAAAGCCGGATCCTTTAAACATTCACTTATTCAGCAGCACTTTCCTTGCGATAGTAACTTCTAGTAATGAATATGTTGTCAGACGCCCATGTTTATAACAGTGGCATGGCTACCATTGGAAAATATTGCGATGTTCCGGTATATTACGGGAAAATGTCGTGATACTCCGTGATATTCCGTGATATTCCGCCATATTCCGTGATATTCCGGCATTCCGGGTTTTCACAACGCCCATTGTAATACATAGAAATACAACGATGTCAATGCGTATCGGATTCATTTATAAATATTATTATTTACACACTATATATACTCACGCACTACTCACTGGAACAAGATCTATAAAATATATTATGTCTATATCATATACATGCGCATTTTAATTATACTGTGTGTGTGTGTCAACTGTCATTGTAAAATTGCCTTCGTTTTTAAATTAAAGAAAAACGCCGCGATTTCAATAGACATTGTTGACTAATTTACAGGAGAAAAGAATACAATCAGGTCGGGTTATTAAACACTTCATTTTCTTGAGAACATTTAAAATTGGTAGACTATACTACCCAGTCAGGTCTCACTTATAACTAAATATAAAGCCATATCGGCGGTTTTTCTTGTGCTAAATTGAACAAATATTTTCACAGTATATGGAAATGAAGCCTAAAGCTAATAACTCATCTCGGTGGTTACAGTAGTTTCAGGTTTTAGAACGTGTTTTTAAACGCCGCGCAGGTGCACCAGAGTCTGCCGCAGAAAAGTGTGAAACGTTGGCTAATCTCTGCTAATTTTCGCAATGCACAACACAGCATTAAATATGCTGTAAAGTCCAAATGTAAACAAATTGCTTTGTTTACATTTTGAACTGGTATATTTGTAAAATATGGTATACAAACTGAATATCTGACATTTTTCTGGTTTGCCATGCTTGTAAACAAATATAAACTAGACGTTTTGATTAAAAAAAGTTCGAAAGATGCAAAATTTGAGCAATGTCTATATCTGTGAGTTCCCTTTGTTATGCGCAGAACAGACTTTAACAGCATCTTTAAATAATTTATAATTAATGGTTTGAAATACACACCTTCGCAATAAATTGAATTACGTTGCGTTTACAAAATTATTTACTCAACTTTTACAAAGGTCCATTATGACCACCTGCATTTGATCAAAATTCACAAGACTCGCACGACTCGCATGACTCGCACGACTCGCACGACTCGCACGACTCGCAGACTCGCAAAATAGCCGACCTCCAGTGCATGTATGCATTTGCTATTTTTAGCGCGCGTGCCAAAAACCATGCATTCAACCATTTATATATTAGTTACTGCCGTAGGCAGAACAGGTGGGCAATTTGTCGACGCTGACCAAAAATAGCGGCTCATTTCTTCTCGAGTTGCCATTTTCGCGTCGAAGAGTGAAAAATACAGACTTTCAGAGAATATTTTAGCTGTTTACTATCAAATATATTTGTGAAACGTTGATAATCTTACTGAGGAAGGCCGACGGTTTCTGAAAAGCTAAAGTATGTCGAAATCCAGCTTTGGAATAGACTATATTTTCACCTGGGAAATATGAACTAATAAAATGGATATTTACAATAACACTAGATTTTGCTCGTGCCTACAGGGCTAGTTGGATTAAAACAGATGTTAAGAAGTAAGTGAAAATGTGAATTTTGTGAATTATATTTTCATTAAAATGTTTCAGAAGGGTTGTTAATGCCAAACTACAAGTGTGACATAGCTGTCAGTATACCCATATTTCAATGTTTATGTTGAAATGACCTATCTTCCTTGAGGTTTAGCTTAAAAATTAGGGTATGCTCATCACTTGAAACTAGCTTTAAATCAAAGCTTTATCTGTAGTCTTTTTATTAGAATTAAAATCATTCATGGGAAAAATGTGCCAAAGGGTTGAAATTGCCCTTGTAAATGTGCACTATTTTTGATATGTTTTCGTTAGTATTTTGAAAAGGTGTTCTGGAAGGAAGATATGTCTTGAACAATACTGTTTGACTCTTAAATTATAACTAGTGTTATGTAAATCACAGAAAATTGAAAAAAATCTGGTCCATACACAATATTTTGGTTTCTATGAGGTTCCGAATGGGGCTTATTTCAATGTTGAATCTGTTTACCTGGAAAAACTTAGAAAGATGTATAAGTCAAGAATTTGACTATGCTCATCATCCCAAACCAGGTTTTTCTAATTGCTTTTTTTACCTAGGTTTGTGGTAATACCAGTTATGCGACCATGAAAAATGCGCGCGGCACTTTTTTTGGACACTGAATATGGTGACATTTGATGTTGTCATATATTGCCACCCTCTTATCATAGCATAACTGAATTTATTTTAGTAAGTTTGTCAAAGAATTGTGCTCACTATATGCCTGTAGCATCTAAGATTTTTTTTCATAGCATTAGACGATAAATTTAAGTTCTGTTTTCTTTTATTTTTAGGTGATAATATCTGTTTGAAACTTGAAACTTGAAACTTGAAACTTTATACATGTGTGTTGGTATCAAATTTTGCACAAGATTGAGTTATTATTTCACATTCTTTATTGAAATATCCAAATAAATGAAATATGACATCAAGCTGGAGGGCTAAATCCTGTTTCCAAACTTGTTTTTGTAAAAATAGAAAATAACAACTTATTATGTGTTGTTCTAATAAAAACTATTGTTTTTGATATGCATATTTAATTTTTGAAATTACATTTTATTCTTTCTTAAAATGTGTACCAGGAATACTGAAAGTTTTCAGATCAGCTAACAATACCTTTGTAACTTATATAGCCAAGTTTTCTACCTATTTCTGTTCAGATTAAACAAATGATGGGTAAAATAATAGATTACATTTTTTCAAAAAAATGAGCTTGCCTGTTTTTAAAGCATAAAAAGCAATAAAATACAGCAGAAGTACTTATTTTCAATTTAAAACCTTTGGAATGCATAGCTTAATGTTTTCCCCTAAATATTACAAAGCTTGCGTTCATTAAAATGTTGTTTTATCAGCTTAAAACCAGATAAATTTACGAAACACTCCTAATATATGTCGCCATATTGATTTTCTTCGCGCATGCGCAGACAAATTGCCCACCTGTTCGTAGACAGCACACTATTCTTGATAACTGATTTTGACGTCATGACTCGTGCCAGTTCCTTGATCGAGTTATAATGATGCAGCTTGAATCAAAATATAGAAGAAATTTGGATTTCTGTCAGTCGGCAATTGCTCGTAAGTCGCCGTAAAGCTCTCGCTCTTTACTTTTCGCCATGATGAAAAATATAAAAAACGATAATTTCTTCACAAATAAACGACAATAATTTTGTTAGAAAATTATTTTTTGCAGGTACGTTTTAGCCAATTATTAGTATACGGTGTTGACAATGTTTACTTATTAGTAATAAGTTTATATTGACCGTTTAAATATCATAACATATAATGATGCAAGCATGTTCAATGTTGGCAAATGTTGTTATGACTTACGAAGAAAAACGCGAAAATGATTGAAGACTTGACATTATAATTAAGGCTCTGCTCACACGCACAGGGTATATAACTATTAACTCAACGACGAAGGAAAACATCGAAATGACGTATAGTGTTGTATAGTGTCGTATTGTCTTGTATAACGTTGTATAGTCTTATTTTATAGTCTTGTTGCTGCCGAAGGCAGCCACCTATTCTTGACGATGTGTTTTTCTCGCACCAGTCCGTTTCCGCTTGCCCGAGTTATGTATAGCCGAACGACAATTCGATTTTATTTGCATGTACGAATGTTCGAATGTTTGGATGATCAGATTTATGACGTTTTTTGACGTCACAGAAATTTAAAAAAAAATACCCTGGTTGAGACTCGCGAACACCACCATGGGGTATGGACTATTACATCTATAGCTATGTGTGCGCATCGTGCCTGTTGTAAAGTATTTTGATTCCAGCTTGCTGCAAATTTTATGTCTGGCTGTTCAGTTAATAATATCGAAATATTTTTTACGTCTGGGCCTGTGGCTGTTTATCGAAAATACTTTTCAAGGTAAGGTGAAAGTTTGATCACAAATACAACGAGTTTTGAAACGAATGAATCAATTGTATTTTTATTTTAAATTTTTAGGTGCTGCCATACAACTCTGTGTCTCTGTATACAATGCCACTGCTACAAACAAAATCGGCAAGCCATTGTGCCACTGCCACACAATCAAATCAGCAAGCCATTGTGCCACTGCTACAAACAAAATCGGCAAGCCATTCTGCCACTGCCACACAACTAAATCAGCAAGCCATTGTGCCACTGCTACAAACAAAATCGGCAAGCCATTGTGCCACTGCCACACAAATATTAAATCAGCAAGCCATTGTGCCACTGCTACAAACAAAATCGGCAAGCCATTGTGCCACTGCCACACAAATATTAAATCAGCAAGCCATTGTGCCACTGCTACAAACAAAATCGGCAAGCCATTGTGCCACTGCCACACAAATGTTAATAAATCAGCAAGGCATTGTGCCAGTGCTACACAAAATAAGCAGACCAGTGATAGTGTTATTCACTCAAATGTTAGGCTACATTGTGTATGTTCCATTGTTGTTGAGAATGGCAAATGATGTAGAGGAAAATCCTGGACCCACAGTATATGATGTGGTTGATCCAACTAAAACAATATGTGCTGATTTTAGCCAGGGAAATACAAAAAAGTTTCGACAAAATGCTGGTAAACAATGTCTAGCAATGTCTTTGACTGCGATAATATATAATTATATCTCAAATGAATGCATGGGATTCAACTGTATTAAATTCCATACTGTGTGCTGGAAATAACCTTTATTCTTTTATAAACAATTCTGTTAAGAAAAGCTATTTGCTTTTGACTGACGTCGACGTGCCTGAAATGGTTTCGGTTTTTGATGACATTTATTGTATGCAATATGGTGACCCGTTTGCTGGTGACTTATTCATGGCAAATACCGCTCTACCTTATTATTCTATATCTAACGCTCTTACTAATCTGTTTGCGGAAACTCAGTTAAATTATCAACATTGTCTGTTGACAATTGGTTGTAATACTGTTGCAATTTTTAAGACGTCTGAAGGAACCTTTAAAGTATTTGATTCTCATTCAAGAGATATATATGGGATTCCACACCCTTTTGGAAAATGCATATTAGCATCTGTTGATAGTATAGAAAGCCTGGTGCCTGATATATTTCCAGAGTACTGTACCTCCAGGTAATGAAACACCCTTCGAAGTTAAAGGAGTAACTGTTCAGTTAAATTGTGATATAACACAAATAAGCGGACTTGCTTCAAGCGAAAGTGAAAAAGAGCATGTAAAACAAAATCGTTCAGAGTTAACTGAGAGTCAGAAACAAAGCAGACTGCAAAATGCTAGAAAGTATAAAAAAGCTAAGCAAGCAGCAGAAACTCAACATGAGAAACAAACCACACTTAAAAATGCTAGGGAGTGTCAAAAAGCAAAACGAGCTTCAGAAACTGAACATGAGAAACAAACTAGACTTGAAAATGCAAGGGAGTATCGAAAAGGAAAACAAGCTTCAGAAACTGAACATGAGAAACAAACTAGACTTGAAAATGCTAGGGAGTATCGAAAAGCAAAACGAGCTTTAGAAACTGATCACGAGAAACAAACTAGACTTGGGAATGTTAGAAATTATGAAAAAAGAAAACGAGGACAGGAAACTGAGATTGAAAAGCAAACTATAGTTGCCAGTGCTAATCAGAACAAGAGAAAACGTTTGTGCGCTTCTACTCAAATTATAAATCAGCAGTATTATTTAAACAAATTTGACATTGAAAAAGATGGTAGTATCCATGAACAGAGTTGGGCAAAAAATAACATTAATAAATTTTCTAAATCTGTTGAATTCTTTATTAGTCAATGCACTATATGTCAAGAAGCATGGCCACTTAACTCTAAACCAAGGTCACCTGATTGTTATATATGCCCTCGATGTGCTCGAGACACAAAATCTCCTAGAAAGTTTTCACTTGAAAATGCAATGATTCCTTCTCCAGTGCCAACCGAGTTACAAAATTTAACTCAAGTAGAGGAAGTGTTGATTGCTCGTGCTCTTCCTATCATGAGAGTTTACATTAAGCCTGGCCGACAACGAGGTTACTCAGGTCATTGTGTTAATTTGCCACAAAATGTTAAGGAACTTGCAACATCATTGCCAAGATATCCCAAAGATTTGTCTGTGATTATTGTCAAAGTCAAGGGTAAAGATAACTCATTTAGAGATGTTGCTGTGAGAAGAGAAAAAGTACATAATGCATTATTATGGCTTGTACAAAATAATCCTCATTATGCCAAATTACAAATTAATGAACATGCATTAAACTCTTTACCTGAAAATGGCATTCCAGCAGATCTCATGACAGTTGAGACTGAAAATGAAATAATCCCAAATGATGATGTTATGTCAGATTTAGGTCCACCTACTGAACACCCTTCTGAAGATATAGTTTATAACAACTCGACAGACATGAATAGTTTCTTGCCTGTTGGTGAACAGCAGGGACAAGAAATAGAAGCAGTTAGAAATCAGCTTTCTGCAAATGAACCAATGCCATGGCCCACTATTGAAAGTGAACCCGCATTGAATGAATATCAGATATCACATCTCGCCACTATGGCTTTTCCAACATTATTTCCAGATGGGAAAGGTGATCCCACTAATCAAAGTATCTTGAAGGATGTTCCTCTTCAAGAAAGAATTAAGCATCTTTTGAAATTTGTTGAATTTACTGATGGTAAATGGGTATACCGTTTTGCTAACCACCCTAGATTTTCATACTGGGCATTTAATATGATTCACAGAAAGCGTATTCTACAACAAAGTGGAATATTCATTAAACAAAATCCAGGTGAAGCACACCTCACTATTGATGAGCTACGTGAAATGGCTGCAAGTGACAACTCCACTTTATTGATGTCCAAAGTGTCCAGATACATTGGCAATATTGCAGGTACTAATGTTTACTGGAATAAAGTAAGAGAGGAACTGAAAGCTATAATAACTAATGTTGGAGCACCAACATTGTTCTTTACTTTCTCATCAGCAGATATGCACTGGCCTGAATTACACGCTCTCTTTGGAGCAAACACTGGTAATGCCACTAGTGAGGAAAGGAGACAAAATGTTATTAACAATCCACATATAGTTGATTGGTTCTTTACACAGAGACTAGAAAAGTTTGTAAAACACTGGCTTTATGATACACTTGGTGCAAAATGGCACTGGTTTAGATATGAATACCAAGGTAGAGGTAGTATCCATTGTCATGGTACTGCTAAACTACATAATGACCCAGGTTTGTGTCAACTTACTCAGACTGCTTTGAAAGGTTTCTTAGCTCAAAAATTTAAAAATGAAAATGATTGCTCTGACACAACTGAACAGGACCAGGATATTGAAGCTGGTCAGAAAGCAGCTGACACAGTATGTCAGTATGTTGATTGGTTATTATCAACTGTCAATCCTAATCCATGCACCAGATGAGGATATGTGGATAAGACCTGAGGATCATCCATGTCTAAAAAGTCATCACGACATTCCTGAACATGAAAAACAATCAGATTATGTAGATCTATTAAACATGGTTCAACGACACACTCGTTGTAGTACAAGTTATTGTCTTAGAAAGAAGTCAAATGAAACAGAGTTGAAATGTAGATTTCACTTCCCTTTTGATATTTGTCCCAAGACAAAATTAGAATTTGAAAAAATTCATACCTCAGGTGATAATGAGCATTATCGAGCTAAGATTGTGACTAAACGAAATGACTCTAGATTAAATAACCATCAACAACTTCAGCTCCAAGGATGGAGAGCTAACTGTGATATTCAAGTTGTTATTGATCACTATACTTGTGTTGAATATCTCACAAAATATGCAGCTAAAGGTGAGCCAAGATCACCTATATTGAAACAGGCATTCAATTCTATTGTGCAAAATGTCGACAGTAATACTGACCCTCATAGAGTTATTAAGAAGGTAGTTATGAAATCTCTTGGTGAAAGAGATTATGCAGCTCAAGAGACAATGCATCATTTGTTGTCATTAAAACTCCACAGCTCATCCTTTAAAGTGATGCCAGTTAGTTTAAATGGTTCACGTAGAGTGCGTGATACTGCAAGTATTGACGAGGGTGAATCATGCACCGATTATTCACTTCTTGATGTGTATGCCAATCGTGAACAATATGACAGTTCACAAAATATAATAAATATGAACTTTGTTCAATTTGCTACAACTTACAAAGTTGTTAACAATGAACTGACAAAATTGCCAGAGAATATTATACCACGAATATTTCCAACATATTCTCCTAATCCCAAAGGTCCAAATTTTGGTCTTTATTGTAAATATCAACTTTTGAGGTATAAACCGTGGAGAGCAACCCAAAATAATGCATGGGGTGACCAAGAACCAACTGACGAGGTTCTGATCAATTGTTGGCATGAATTTTTACAAACACCTTATGGTCAGTCTAATGTCCCAGACTGGTTTGATAAATTACAAACTGTCATTGAAAGTCAGGAAGCAGAAGATGAACCTGAAGAACAAAAGACAACTCGAGAAGAGTGGATGATATTATCAGACCTCAACACTCCTTTTGACAACTCTGAACAAACACCAGAGTCCACATGTGACTGGCATCTTGACAGAGCCAATTATTCAGAACAACAAATTCAAGAAATGCCAACATGGATAAAAATAAACAAAGAGGAATACACTGTTGATGAACAATATGATGTTGTTGACATCAACAGTTTTAGCGAAATGCAAAAACTTGCTTAAGACATTGTTAAGTCTCATTTTGCTGATACGTCATCTGAGAAAGAACCATTATGTCTCATTATAAATGGTGTTGCAGGAACTGGTAAAAGTTACCTTATTAATGCTATTAGAAATCTTTTGCAAAGTAAATGTGCTGTTACTGCTACCACAGGTAAAGCAGCTTATAATATTAGAGGTGTAACTGTGCATTCTCTATTAAAGTTACCTATAGGATCAAGAGGTAAAAAAGCCCTGACAGGACAAAGCTTGTGTAGGTTACAAGAGAGTGTTAATAACATTGGATACATCATTATTGATGAATACTCCAGGCTTGGCCAAGTTACTTTTGGTTGGATAGACAAGCGTTGCAAACAAGCAACTGGTTATAATGAAAAAGTATTTGGAGGAAGATCATTGATTTTAACTGGTGATCCAGGTCAATTGCCACCAGTAGCAGATAAACCTCTTTACCATGCTAAACCATCAAACGCTATTGGTGAACAAGGTCATCAAGCATATCATATGTTTGACAACAGTGGCGTGCTGGGTACTATTTGTCTGGGGGGGGCCAGTCGGCTGGCAACTAATATGCGCCCCTATAATATTACCCTTGATAAACGAGGGCCGATGGCACGAGCCGAACGCCGCAGGTGCGAGGTTTGTCTAGGGGGGTCCGGGGGCATGCCCTCCAGGAAAATTTTTGAATTTAGAGTCTCTGAAATGCCATTTCCTGGACTTTGGGGGAAGATTTGACAGAAATCTGATGGTCAGGAAACGGCATTACAACGTGTCGAAATTTGAAAATTGGTTAGAATTTAGTAGTAGCACTTAAATTGGGCAATGCTAACTACTTCCACAAATTAATCTAATCACAATTCTATTCTCTACTGATCTGAATACATTTACAACTTACAGCTCTTTTATACAATAACACAAGGACCCCACGCATATGCATTTTAAGGTTTCCTTTGCCTGGCTGCCAAAAGGGCGTGTTTCATCATTATCTCATTACTTACATTACTCATAATGTTTCTTGCGCAAACAATTAAATTGCGTACACAACTTTACATTATCATACTTCAACTATCTAATTTGCGCCGCTCTCGTGATTCGTGAAGCATAATAAAGGGCATAATATAAGGGTATAATACCAGCAAAAAAGGGCATAATTCCCGTGATCGCTTCGAAGCCTGGTCAATATTCCGGTAATGAGACATTGCGTGTGATCACTGATCATGTTTCTATATGAACGAGTGATTTCGTGTGAGTCGTGAGGTAGCAAATACGGTTGGACAAAATAGTCTGCAATTTAATATACTCACTTTGTCGCCTATGCGCTTAGTCTGTTTATAAGTCTATAAACACATCTTTCCTTGGAGGAATTCGTAAGTAATTTTTTCGAATGCGTTTCTTCCCACCTACTTTCAAAATTCGGCGCCCCCTTTTCATTTCTGCGCCCCCCAAAAATTGCCAGCTGGGGGGGCCGTAACCACCCGGCCCCCCCTGCCAGCACGCCACTGTTTGACAAAGTTGTCAAACTCACTGTAAATCAACGTGTGCAAGGTATGACATCTGAGCAAGTACAGTTCAGAGATTTGTTATTGCGACTTCGCAAAGGCGACTCAACTGTTGATGACTGGAAATTACTTCTGACACGCCAACCATCAAAATGTCACTAATTTATGTGACTTTGAAGATTCTACTAGACTCTTTTATAGTAATGAACAAGTTGGTAATTACAACCATGAGCAGCTAACAAAACTTGAGCATCCAATTGCTCATATTAATGCACGACATTCATCTGCATTGGCCAAAAAGATATCCTCAGATGATATGTCTGGGTTAGAACCCGTTGTGTTTCTAGCAAAAGGTGCTAGGGTCATGTTAACCATGAATTTGTGGTCAAGTGTTGGCCTCTGTAATGGGGCTACTGGCACAGTTGTTGATAGTATCTATCAGAACAACCATCAACCTCCTGACTTACCTATTGCGGTAATAGTAGAATTTGAAAACTATAGAGGACCTGTTTTTAATGAAAACCAACCATTGTGTATCCCAATAATTCCAATCACTGTCGCATCACAGACAGAAATAGGTTTCCATGAGAGGCAACAGTTACCTCTTAGGCTTGCTTGGGCTCTAACAATACACAAGAGCCAAGGACTCACACTTCCAAAAGCATGGATAGATATTGGCAAATCTGAAAGAACTGCTGAAGTTTCTTATGTTGCTATTAGCAGAGTAAAATCACTTGCCTCTTGTGTCATTGAACCAATGACGTATGAACGATTAACAAGCTTGAAATCGTCAGCCAACTTACAATATAGGCTTGAAGAAGAAAACAGGCTAGATCAGTTAGCACAGGCTACTAGCAGTGCATTCAGAACAACAAACTATTGAGTTTGAATAAGAGAGGGATTTTATATATGGATCCCAGTTATAGTTTGGTATATACTTTGACTATATACCCTTTTCAGTAATTTAATTTATATAATAACTACTTTAGTCCTTGTTATCACTGTATGTATGAAAATATTATGATTTGCAAGACAAAAGAATGGTAAGTTTTTTGTTTGTTTAGCCCCTCCCCCTGCCCTACTTTTATTTTAATTAATTAATTTATGTGCTACTATGTTTCCGCATAAATATCTCATGCTACCAATTTTTTTGCTATAGTTTTGCAATTCTGATGGATGTGAATGGTGCCATGTTAACTGCTGGATGAAACCAAATTGTTGTTACAGCCCAAATATAATATGGATATATTATACATCACATGAAAATGGATGGTAGCTTCTGGATTAACAGAAATGTTCATGTATTTCTATTAAAACAAGAATGCTGATTTACAAGATTGTATGGATATATATTACATATACTGTATTACATCACATGAAAATGGATGGTAACTTCTGGATTAACAGAATCGTACATGTATTTGATTTCTATTAAAACAAGAATGCTGATTTACAAGATTGTATGGATATACTACATCTATAATGCAATTGGATGGAATCTGCCATGTATTATTAAATTATAATACTTGTTTCCAATCTATACCATATGGATGTCAGCAACATTGTATGTCACGATATCACATACCTATATGTACAGTAACCTGTTTTACATCAATATTGGACAATAATGATGACCAACAATGGACACTACCTGTACATGCTAAATAAATACGAAACATCTACATATTGGACAAAAAACCAATGGTCACACTTGGTTATCAAATGGAAAATACAGTAGACTGTCATTACTTTGAAAGAATATGAAAACTTAACTTACAACAAACTAGTCATATCACGTTTAAAGACCATATGTTTGTTCTTCCTAATTGTGTTCTTCTAGACGTTTTGACAAGTGAAGACGGTTTAAAACATTGGTACCAACAATGACCCGTAGTAATTATTGCATGTTGTAATTTCGATTTTTTTAAACAAAATAAATTGTTCATACATACAGTGTGATAAATGAATTTTATAGGTATAATCACTCCCCAGGGCTTTGGGTGTAAGGCAGCACTTTCCTTGCGATAGTAACGTCTAGTATCATGGTATATTACCAAAAGTTGTTTCGGCGTTGTTCACAACATTGAACTGGGGTGGGGGGGGGGAGACAAATTTGTTTTGTCAATGTTCAATAACTTTGTAATATTAGCTGGAATGGTCTCAACGGTTTTGTCCAAGATTGTAGAGCCGTAAAGCATGTTGGTTGAATGCCATGTTACAAACATGCAACGCGCGGCTATATGAACGAACTCCATTCGAGCACGTGTTCTCTTTTTCTCGAGAGTTGAGAATGGACAAACGAATGTTAGTAAGTGAACAAGGGTATACCTGAAAGGTAGGCATTGCTGCGGGAATTGACCACTTGCGTAACAGACTACATTTTGATCTAAACAAGTCTAGACAAAAATGTCATCACAACTTGAAAGAGCGTCACAAAATTAGTAATATTCCAAAGTTTCGTTGCGAAATGTTGTAAAATGCGGATAATATAGCTTTCGAAGTTTGCAATTTTCAGTTAATTTAAATTACAAACCGGAAATTGACAGCCCAAAAGGGTATTGAGTGCGACACATGGATATTTAATTAAACTTCAATGTGTCAGTATGTGTACATTTAATTACTGCTCTTTCCAAAATAGTGTAAAGGTCGCCGGAAAAATTACGACACCGTTCATATTGAATAGTAGTAATCTATTAAAAAATCCGTGGCCACGCGCCAAAGTCCAAACCCGGAGACGTAGTCGGGATTTCTAGCCAACGGGAGAGAGTGGGAGGGGGGACATCAAGGAGGGCCCGAAGCAAATTTACCCAGCGACACTTCGAATATAGTGTGTTAATTACCTGAAAGTGTATTTGGAGGTGTTTGGGATATGCCAACATGGAAAAACGTTTAAAATCTAGTGCGTAGAGAGCTATTTTCAATATTTTGGGGACTATCAATTTCTTATCCAGGTTTAATTTTGTGATTTTGAATAAATATTTAACACACAACAGCTGTACTTAATCGCAAAACCAATCCAAAACGTTTAGAACATTGGCCAGTTCGGTTTTAGAGGCGCTGGGGAGTGGGCAGCCATCTTGTATGGAGGGGACGCGGGCTCCACTCTGGCTACGTCATTGGCCAAATTCACCCCGAAAATTGATGGTTTTACACTTGTACGACAATACGAATTTGATTTTCTTGATATGAAGATCATGAAGTTTGTGATGTTAAGGCTTTTTTCCACTCATCGCGAAAACAGCTCTCAGCGAGCTTGCGAGTCCTCGCAAGCTCGCAGGTCAATTTCCACCCTTCGACATCTCGCGTGACTAATTTACGTTTTTGCAAAATGACGGCCACTTACTTTATTTAAGACGCGAGATGAGAAGAAGTCTCAAGTACGTGGAACGTTTTTCGGTTCTCCCGATATTCTGTAAAAGAGAACAACTCGGAGAGTTCTATAAATTGGTGATGGGAATGAAAAAAGGAAGACCCAATCGTCGGACCAAACTAACGAAACGCTTACACCATTGTCCCATGCTTCTATAAACATGTGAACTTCCTCATTCGCCGCCATTTTGCATCTTTCTGTTCACTTTAGGTACGTGATATTTTCAACGAATTCCATTGTCTTCTTTTTTCAAAGTATTCTGCACAAGTTACTCGCTAATACTCGCAAGCTCGCTACGAGCTGCTTTTGTGATGAGTGGAAAAGAGCCTTTACTCTGAGTGTGCAACCACACCGGGCAAGCTAATACGTTTGCCTGACCACAGTGGGAATCAAACCTCAACCTTTGGATTATTAGTCCAATGGTCTACCAACTGAGCTACGAGGTCAACTCGGTTCGAGTTGATGATATTTATAAGATATGATACCTTTTGTCGGTGTTGGTGTTATGTACACTAATTATGCTAGACTTGCCACAAGTCGACTATTGGGAAGGGAGGGCGCGGGAGAGGGAGCGCGCGACCCGAACGATGAAGTCGCGAGTGGTCGACTTGTGTCGCTTGCAGGAATTTAAATCGCATTAAGAATTTTGGCGCAAATAATTTATTCATATTAAAAAGGTGTGTACATTTCATAAAATTACTTCACAACTCGCCGACAATGGGTCTACAAAAACGCAAAAACATTCTCAAGAATTGATATTTCTTTGTCGTCGAATGAAACAGTTTGCACCGAGTGCAGAAACGAAATAACTGACCCAAGTAAGCACCGAAAGCTTTTTAATGTATCAAAAAAATTGCAAAAACAAGTGCATGTAAAAACCTATTGAATCTGGACAGTTGTTTGTTTAAAAATGTGTGCCGTAATGGTGTCGAGAAGTATAGTAATTACTAGAAATACATGCATGCAACAACCCCTCGCCTATATTTTCCAAACATTGAACATGAAGTATTCGTAATTACGCCAACACTGAACGCAGGCTCGCGTTGCCACGTCATGTTAGTCATGGCAACACGATAATTGTTTTTTACTTTTTTGTACAAACCGGGAAAAAATTGATGAAATTTGAAAACTTTTAACTACAGAATTATCAATTTCTAAAATGTATAAAGTAGATAAAATATTTTTGTTTTTATGTGCTTTATTTTAATGGAAAATTCAAAATGAAACTCTACGTAAAAGTTTTTAAATGTGAATTGAAATTAACTGCTTTTTGCCGATATTTATAAACTTCTCAACTCGAGCTTCAACTTATTACTCGCACTTTGAAATGAAACAAATTTAATTCGTACAGGACGCGAATGAAAATAATTTGCTTTCCTTTTTATCATGAATTTCTACAAAATTTAATTTAACCAAGAAACTTTCGCAAACAATGCATAGGAAAGAACAAAGTCTATATTATTAAATACAAAGTCACACAAAAACAATTGAAACAAACTTTCCCTATACTTTAGGATTTATCATACAATATCAAATCTTATCTATGTTTACGTTTAAAAATTGCAATGTACAATTTGTTATGTGAAACGATTTTCCAAGCTTTCTTACATGTATTTTTTTATATTTTCACTCCTCACACTGCCTTCTTCACTCCTGGCAAACAGCCATATTTTAAGATCAGTGATGACCACCCACTCAACACCGTTGGTGAGCGCACGCGATCATTGACAAACTTTAGACTTCGCTAATGCTTTCGTTTCCCCGAGTGTAAATAGCCGGGGGAAATTAGTACCCTCGCACGGCGCTTCGCGCCGTCGGCTCGGGGATTAGACTTATTAAGGAAAGTTGATTCAGTTCGCGAGCGATTTAATGTAGTAGAAGTTAATCTAATTGAAAATAATCAAACAGCTGTAACCAAGAAGCAGGGAGGTGGCGATTGTGATCAACGAGAAGACGTCGCTAGAGTTCAAAATCCAGTACAGTAAATCCTGTTTTCTCAACAAACGAATTTGTAATAATCAGTAATCGAGATCAAGAAACTCAAACTAAACCTGAAACTAGTGAGGAAATTTTAGAATGATCAGATGCATGCATTTTCGATGACAATTTTGAAGTTTATTTCTATATAGTAGGGTCAATATAGCACCTGACCCCCAAAAAATTGCAAGCAAACGTTTTATGGTGTTTTCCTGCAGTATTGAGTCTTGTGAACAACATATCAAACGTTTAGAAAAATTTAGGTCACAGAAAGGGTAAAAATGTGACGTCATAAACAAGATGGCCGCCAAATCATAATATTTATATCTCGCTTTATATTTGACATAGGGTGACAATATTGGTGTCTAGCTATAGGTTTTAGGGGTCAAGGAATCCATTAAGTCTATTCATGGGGTTGTAGGGGAATTGCATCAGGGAAATCCAAGATGGCCGCCACGACAGCCCCAAGCTTACAGTTGTGGTGTCTATCGTTAGGTTTTATTTATATGTTACTGTGGAAATAACCTGTCAGTTCGGCTTTTGCGCATACGATCTCGTTGTTCTTCGTCATCTTCTTCATCTAGTATTGGCCCCAGTGTCATGTTGTCACATTCCCTTCTTGACAAGGTCCGCATGCGCTTGTACAATCAAGCCCATGTTTTTTACAGGTACATCTTAGCGTGTTACAACCAGTGGAACAGTTGCAGTGGATCATTTTGAGGAGAACCACGGGAGCATGGTCCTTATCCATCATGATCGGAACGAGTTTGTCCCCTTGAACTTTAAATACCCAGTCGTTAGGAACCATGTCCTCACTTATGCCCATCCATACCATAACTTGGTAATGCGTCCTCAGCGAGTGAAATCTAGTGGCAGAAGCAGTTGGCGGAAGTCGTTCAGGTGTGACGAATGTCTTGGCTCTTCAAACTTTCTTACAGAGCGAATTGTACCTAATTAAGGGTTACGAGAGACTCGTTTTGATTCCCATTAAACAATGAAACCATTGCCTTACAGCCAGCACTTTCAACGGTATTTCGATCTTTGTCCGGTGAACAAAAATCTTTGAACATGTACGAAACACGGATTCCCCCTTGATAATTTTTTGAAAAACGGATTTTTTGCCAATCCCAAAGATTTTTGAAGTCGTATCGCAACCTGTGAACGCGTGAACAAACAGCAGATCAGCACATAAGTCATCACCTAATATCTGTTTCAGAACATTGATGTTGTACACATATTGTTTTGTTTTATCCCCGGTTTTATCTGAACGAAAGTAGAGCTCATGGCTGTACTTAAGAGACGCATGATACAGAAGAAGAATCAACAAGTCAGTATCTTCGCCAATGAGCGTTGTAGACTTGTACCCAGACATCGAAGCTGCGGCTTTTACTATGTCCACGTCTGCATCTCCCTCAGCTTGAATGACATGGCAGTCTTTCTGCTTCAAGCATTTTGCGATCATATCAATCATAGCCTGTTTGTTTTCCACATTCGAGAGAAAATCCTCTTTTTTCCCGACGAACTTAGTAGCATCCGATATATTAACCTTGTTAGCAGTCTTATTTGCACTTCGTCGTTGATGTGTATTGTCCTTAATGCCTGGCCCTCCACTGTACCCATCAAAAACTACTGTGGCATGTCCGTTTAAATCCGAAGTGAACTTTGCATATGCGTCAGAGATTGAGCTGTATGTAGAACCTTCGGTCCATCTCAGTCTATGCAAAAGTGATCCCCGTCTAAAACGAAGTGATTAGTAACTAGGATCGTCTCAAGCACTGCATCATCAGATCTGGGAGTGACATAGTTTCTTATTGCTTCCACCAGTTGTGCTTTGTCTGGTTTGCGCAAACGGTCCTTTGCTTCGAATAACGCTGGAGGATATAAACTGAGTTCATATTCCATCACCTCACTTAAATTAACATCTCCAGACTGTGATACCACGAAGAATCTATGAAACAACAAAGCTGTGTCTATGGTTCTGTCTTCAGAAATTTGGATGGCTCGGGCAGTAGCTAATGTCTTCACTCTAGTATTTCTCTTGTGTGAATACGAAAATATAGACTGTCCTTCCATTGTTTTCACTGTGCTGCTGCCAAGCGCGAAAAGATCATCCACATTCACATCGTCATTAGCATTTATACCAGTTATGATGTTGCGCAAGGTAGCATCTCTGTGAACGGGGAAAAGTCTGCAAGTTTTTCTATAAGAATTTCTCTGTCTGCTTTATCTCTATTCATCCTTGCACACAGATTCTTTGTGCTGTTCACTTGTTGTGTATACCATCTGGCTGAACTCTTGCATGGCATAGTTGTAGGCTGAGGTTACAGGGCGAGACATTGTCCAAAGTGTTCTTTGGTGTTCATTAAAGACACTTCCTCTTGTTAGCCCGCCTGTGCTTTTAAGGGAACGCATGAGCCTCTGCTCGATGACAAGGTCAGAGCTTAGGCCAGTCCAGTATTGGTTGCTGCGGCGTATGACATGGAAACCATTCATGAATTTCTGATAAACAGAAGGGTTGTCAGTTTCTAAGCTGTTCATCTTCTGAAGATACAGATAACCCGACTTGAGATAGTTAGGGTGTCCAGCAGCTGCAAATATTGGCAAACAGTCAGATATGGCATGAGGTGCATCTCCCATGATCCGTTGCGATCGGCCTCGATGAGTTCGGGGGCAACTCCCAACATTTGCTGATAATTTAACCACAGTTTGCTTGTCTTTGAACACGGTTAATAGAATTAGATGGTTAGGCTAGCTGGACCACGTGACAAATATGTTATTGTTCATTTTTATTTTTGGTCACGTGACGAGGAAAGGGGGTGCTTTGTGATGAGTGATTAGGAAAACATATGAGTGAGAACATAATAT